GTCAGCGGGAGACGCAATTAGATAAATCCGTTAGCGTTTGGTGAGCTGAGGTCTCGCGTTCATTGGGCTTAAGGAGAATCATTCGAAATAATTCAGGTAAACAAAACATGCCCCCACACTATCTGTATACTATACATGTTTTTTGTTTCGTACTAAATACTAAACAGCTAACATATATTTTTATTCTTTACGTGATTAAGCGAGATGACAATGTTTTGCAAACTTCCATTTGCCTTTATGAAAATTGACGAGCTACTGCCTGCCTCGTTTTCTTCGACAGTCTTTACGTTTCTTGTTTCCCCTTTTTTTGGTATTAATGATAAATTTATCCAAATTGACCAGCCGGCGCCTAGTGAAAATGCCACCACCGCTGCGAGGGGTGAAAGAAGTATGAGGACGTCGAAGGACTTAGAAAACCGGCTGCGTCTGATTCTAGCCGTTGTGCATCGTAGAGTGGGTCAGAATCTGCACCAACTAACCTATCCACAGAATACGATTTGTGACGATATTTTTCTTTACGATAATTCAAAACGATATGATGCGGCTCACCACGATACGACACGATACATCGCTTTGATGTTCCATGTTATTCTATTCGGCATGGGCCACGGGTTCTCACAGTACGTCACAATACATCACAACCGGGACTAACGTAACCTCCCGGCCCCACCAAAATATTGCAAGCTTTGACAGAGAAAACTGTTTCCCAGAAGTCTTATTAATTCTTCTTATTAATCTTGGAAGTAAACAATTAGTAACACAATAGCATTGCTGGTCGAGAAAGAAAATGTTGGTGTTATACTCCAATTGTGATTGAACGCTTATGCTATTTGACTCGTAAGAGATTTCTAACGGATTACTTATTTTTGGTAGTTCAAGCTTTGGGTAGCTCGAAAACAATGTATACAATAAAAGATCAAATACAACTTTTTCCACATACACGTAGTTATAGCTATACCATCCATCCTCTGAAAATGTGTAGTAATAGGAAAAGCCTAAATTTCTTTTCATTCCGAGAGATGTGAATGTGTTCAGGGAAGGTGCAAACTGCAATGGAAAATGAAAAGGAAACCTAAATGTATGGGAGTATTTCTTTTGAACTATTCGTGACACCTTCGACATGACCGAAATATGGTGTGTACATTATCTGATCAAACAGACTAAGGCGGAGAAAAATTATAATCTCCGTTCGTTTAAACGTCCGCCATTAATCCGAACACGTCAATAAACTCGAACGTTCTTAGGGAGAAATAAAGCATTCTAGCAGTAGGAATCAAGACGTTTGCACTGGAAGTAAGTACCTCAAAACAGACGTCTGGCATTAAATCAACGTAAACTTTCGATCCATTTTATCAGTCTGTTTGCTTCCTCTTCTTCTCCTGCGTTCTCGTTTCAGACTTGATAGAGGCAAAATGCCTTCGTGAAATCAGTAGATTTGGTGAAGAGTTTTGAGGGAAACATGGAGCACAGGTAAATATTGTTCTGACCTAATAAAACAGCTTTGATGGACCTTAAAATAACCTATCATTAGACGGATGTAGAGCAAATAACTGTCGTAGAAGTTTGTATATCAAGGCGATAGCCGAGGCAATTATTACAAGTAATAACGCACAATGTACATGGTTTGTGATATCGATTGGATGACGTTCAATACATTTCGAAATACAACCTTATTATAAAAAAATCGTAAATAAGAAATAATGTTTCTGAAAATAACACTCACGCGTAATTATTAGCTAAAACTATTTTCTATTAATTGTTCCAAATGGATGAAGGGCTTCAAATCCTTGACGAATATTTGGTTTTCGTTCCTCTGTTTTATTGTGTTAAGTTGATATAACAGAATGGAATTATGAAATCATTACCTTCGTCTGTAAGTACATTTTTTCAAAAAAATCACAAGAAACCATGTACATATGTACTTTGTTTATGATGAGTTAGCGAATTGTTTAACTTCAGTACAAATAAACTACGTTCCCGATATCGCAAGCAGCTCCATTTTGATATTTTTCTTGTATGTCCTAATTTAGTATTTTTAATGGTTATTATGAATATGGTATAGGTGTTGTTTCTTTTACAACATTACTTCACATTGTTATTTATAATGTTAATAATATTAAGGTCTTTTTAAATTTCATGTAGTGTATTTTCGTTTTTCGTAGCCTCTGCTTTCGTACTCGTAACACGATATTTATCGCGATAATGCCGAATCAGCTGACCCTTATTCGAAAAAATTTCAGAGCCGTCTATGACTTCTGTTACGTGACCAACATGTAGTTGGTCTTGCTCCGTTAATCTTAATTACCCTCAAATGGGCTGACGCATCAGGGGTATGCGTCAGCCCATGGGTTTTAACACTAAAATGTTAGAAAAAACATTGGAGAGAAGACAAAAGAGCAAGTTTTACAACAACTTATCCTCTTTATATACCTACATCTCAAATTAGAACAATGAAATTTCATCAAGAGTGAGGAGTAAGTGAAAAAAGTGAAAGTACGGAGATATCAACTAAAGATGAAGTTGAAGCACATTCTATTTCAGATAAGGTACATTCTTCTACTCTTTATTCCTCTTACATGTTATGCAATAATATTAGTTCAACGTCAAGTTAAGCAGATATTTGAATCACAATCTTCAATTTGATAGCGAGTGTAGCTGAAGAAACTCTTCCATAACATAGACCATTTTCATGTAAATAGCTTTAATAGTAGGAAAATGAAGGGAGCCCTCTAAATTTTTGAACGGAACCTGCAAAAATCCGAGTTGCAGGAACTTGGAAAGAGAAACCACAAGTAAGCGAATTTAAAAAATGAACATGGTATGTTACCTTGATGAAACAAAAAACTAATTACTAACCTTCCTCGTAAATCTATTAAAGGTCGGGTGGTTTAATGCTGTTATCAAAAATAACTCGTAAAATTCTAAATGTATTCTACTTAAATATCTACTTTTAGCTTAGATGTATTATTAATTCTGCAATTCAGTATGTTAACTTGGGGGAAAAGGCATTAATTTTTCGTATTTTAACTCTAAATTGACTTAAAATAAGATACTTTACAAATAATACACTTTAATAGTTAATACTTTATAGTTTCTCCGCTCAAGCCTTCACAGCACTCCACTTCACCTCACAGCACAGCACTACACTGAACCTAAATGTCGGTCTTACAAATACATTTCACTCCACTGCACAGTAGAACACTTCACAGCGTAGCAGTTGACACCGCGACACTTGACACCGCGACACTTGACACCGCGACACTTGACACCGCGACACTTTGCACCGCGACATCTTGACACGGGACCTTGACACGCGACACCTTGACACCGCGACACTTGACACGGCGACACTTGACTACGGCGACACTTGACACGGCGACAACTTGACACGCGACACTTGAACGCGTCACTTGACTCGCGACTTGAACAGGCGACACTTGACCGGCGACACTTGACACGGCGACACTTGACACGGCGACACTTGACACGGCGACACTTGACACGACACGAGACTTGACAGCAAGACCCTGAAGAAACATATATCCCCGAAGAACTTTTTCACAATTTGTATACTTAAGAAAGAAGGATACCGAATCGGCGGTATGAAGATACCTTCTTTAACTTTAGCATTACTGATCTATGGAAATAGTCCTCTGAAATACTGAAATACTTCTGTCCTGATCCATCCCCTTTCATGTTCACGAAGTTCCCAAAGTTCTTCATGAATTCCGTACAAAAAACGACGTAGAATAGATTTCTGAATTTCCAGTTGAATTTCCGTATAAACGTATGGGGAATATGTGTAAAGTGCAGTAAACGTGCAGAGGAACTTGTGGGGATCATCCGGAGAGCACGCGTGGAAGCATGCAGGGACGCGTATTTTTGAATATGCCTGTCCGTCCCGTCTCGTTAAGCTCCTACCCACCTCACTCTGCCTCGCCTCCCCAGGCCACGCCTCCGATCACGCCCTCACCCACCATGCTGTTCTCCGTTCTGGCATTGCATTGAAATCTGAACAATAAGGATTAAAGAAAAACTCGACATTGCTACTGCCAGTGATTGGATCATCCCCTGAGAATTTGCGAATATGCCAAGCACCAGGGAAGAATGAGTTGCTTCCAACCAGGTGCGAAATGTGAAAGTTCGTTATATTTCGCACCACACTTTCATTTGCAAAACGTTATTATCATCCAACTACATGCCTTACATTCCCATGTGTTACAGTACTGAGGCAATCTGTATTCTATTAGTTTCTATTACAGAATATAAAGACTACAAAACCGCGTTTTATTTTTTGTTTCTGCTTTGCGTTGCCGTTCAAAACAAAGCCCCACCCCCTTTGAATGCCGCGAATGGCTCCACAGCACCTCTTTGGGCGCGTACGTTTGTTGACGCGCGCGTCAGTTTGAGTTAAGGGGGGAGGAGCGGGGCATGGAGGGGGAGGGGAGGGGAGGCGCCTATTCTCGGCGACGCACTCGGCATTCGAGCGCAAGCACAGCCAGAGGCGGTCTTTTGCTTACGAGGTCTCGCAGCTCGAGCTCTCGGAAATGCTCCCGCTCATTGGGCGCTTGCAGACATGATCGTCACGTATGTTTAACACTTTTGTAACATTAACTCTTTTTCTTGAATGCATTCGCATGATACTGAGTAACTTGAGTTCACGTTTGATGCCGTGTGGACGTAATGTCACCGGACGTGTCAGAAGAGCTTCGAATAAGAATCTCGTGCGTTTGCTATCGTTTCGATTGCTATGTAATAATGTTTTGTTTTGTATTTTAATGTACTAATAACTTTTCATTTCATAAACATTTCGTGGAGCTTTCAAATTCGGATACAGAATGTCCTTTTAGTACTTCCTTAATGTGCCTTTCAGTGCTAATAGCACAGAATATAATATAATTAACGAAGTAAGAAAACAATTTACTTTCATGTGCCTGGGATTTGTTCGGAAGCTGCAAGTGGCCTGACCCGCGCGCGTGCGTGCGTGTGTGTGTGCGCAGGAACCCCACGTGGTGGAGGCGTCGGACGGCGTTGGAACGCGCCATGATGATGGTGGCGGCGGCGGCGGTGACTGTGGTGCTCGCTCTGGCCGTCGTCGTCGCCGTGCTGGTAGTGCGCGACCAGCAGAACGGACCCAGTGAGTAGCCTCCAGATGGCGTCGCATTGGAAGCCTCTGCACCAGTGACGATAGTGTTTGTTGACAGTGTTAATTGTTCTCCCTCTCTTTTTTTTATGTTTGCCTCTCTTAGATTACATTTCTGACTATTGCCCTACTGCAACGTGATTTTCCGCAATTTATATATGTGTGTGTTTTATGTGTCCTTTCTTAGATTGTATCTGTTTTGCGATACTATCTGTAATATTCCCATGTCCAATGTAAGAAATATCCAAATGTAATTTCCACATTTTTAGATGGTGATGTAGTACATAATATTTGTGATTTCAAAATAATAAAGAGAAGGCATCAACCTCAGTGTTTAGAATCACAAAGATTTAGATGACCTTCTTAAGTTCATAGTTTTTCCGGAAGACGAAATGTCGAATGCTTTCAATAGATAAGATTACAACTCACACAATGAAAAAATGAACAAATGATGGTGGATAAGCGTTCATTACACCAATTTCAAGATAAGATTTAAATTTATTAGTGTTTATTCAATAAAACTTATTAATAACAGCAAGTGAAAATATCTAGTGCTCACTACTTTTCATTTAAAGCAAAAATCACGAAATTGGGTCCTCCAATGAGAAAACGCAATTCGAACCGAGGCACGTAAATTGAAATAGCAATTAGCGAGAAGCCTTTAAACTGTTACATACAGTACATGTAATATTACCTTTTGCGTTATATTGGAAATGTTCATAATAGTCAGTAGATGACAATATGAAATATGAACCTAAAACAAATTAGACATATCTACATACATATTTCGTACACCTACTTACCGTCTTTGGTTTGGACGCAAAATATTGTAATTGCTTGCAAGCTTGTATAGGTAATTCACTGTGCTACGATGTAATCACAAATTTAGTGTAGTTCTGAACACAAAACGGTAATAATGAAATGTTTTAATTTGACGATGACAGGAATAAATTTTTTTCAATAACTTTTTTTCAATTGATAATGACAGTTACATCAAACCAAAAAAATCCATGATTTCTTTTTTCTTTAATTTTCGGCAAGAGTGCATTATCTTCTTTTCACTATTTCGGTATAGTATACATATCTGTTGCAGCTCTCATACGAAACCTATCTTTATAAATGAGGTCTCTAAAGAAATATAATTTCACGGCGACGTGACGAATTGCACATTGACTTTAAATATATGAAGGATTTGTTTTAAAAAAACGCATTTAAGTATTCATGTCAAATGCAACCTGCAGCACTCAGTCAGATATATTGTTAAACCGTTATCTGCTAAGAAATGATCAACCTTGTGTGTTGATACATTGAGCTTGTTAGGAATGATTAAGAGGTTTATTATTTTTGGTTGTTTCAAAAATCAATTATTTTTGTTAAATATAACAAAATTGAAAGGTCAAATAAAACAAGTCATTTATTGAAACTATGTTACATAATCGAAGGTACAAAATTATAGTGAGTGGATGAGTTTTTGTGCAGATATATAGTTGTTGAATATTTTTGTGCAAATAGATATCTATCTTAAATGATATTATAGATTCCTTCAATTATATTTTTTTCTTGGCCACGATAACCTGCGTTCTTTATCACATTTGTGACTCTGTAAAAATATATAATTTGTGCAAAAAAATAAAGTAAAAGTAAAATAATGATGATGACATTAATGTTTTCTATTTTAGTTATCTTTTTTTAAACAATTCTATTTCATACAGGTTTATAATCAACTTTTTTAACTCTTGCTTTGACTCTGTGTTAAATTTATTATATATCATAGAGGATTGCGATCTTACATTGACCCAGTTTTCTTCACTGTGTAGTTGCCATATTGATGGACAATGCAACGAGCTTTTTCCAAGGTATCGGATCTTTGTATGCTTCCCACAAATCACCACAGATTAACATCTTTATCAAATTGTCGACCCTAGAATAAAATAATTGTAATTAAAGAACTATTAAAAAGAACAATGTCTAAAAAAAATGTCTAAAGAGCTTTAAAGAAGACTTACTGATCATCAAATCCATGAGTTATTTCATGGCCAATTAACAAACCTATGGCTCGTAATTCATATAGGTGGGCGGTCATTACTGAAGAATATTCCTTGCAAAATCCAGCGGGAAATTCTGTCAAAGTTCAGAACATTATTATTTTTTATTTAAATGAAAAGTCTGAAAAATATAATGCTTTTTGATTTTGTGAAGTGGATACAAGATACTTACGAATACTATTTCTATTGAGCTATAAAATGAATTAACAATTGCTGGGCGACCATGTGTGATCCATTAGTTTTGTTGACCTTTTGTCGCAGTCTTCCAAATGAATAGCAGTGCCAAATTTTGTTAGTGATATATCTTTCCATGTATAAGTCGTGATTAACTTCAAGCTGCAACAATTTCATTAGTAAGTAGAACTTGGAAATAGATGATTTGTTAATCAATTATTTTTGACTAAAGGTTAAAAGTTGTATTTGTGCATGATGTGTGTGGGTATGATGTGGGCACAGTGTGGTGCCTGGCATGCGTGACGATGGTGTGTGTGCAGAGTGAAAAGGTGCTAGGTGCAGTGTGTCATCGCAGTATATGTCTGTACCTCAGGTATGGGTGCCATGGTATGAGTGTTGTGTGTGTATGTGCACGTGTCGTGAATTTTTGCACATGTCGAGACATGCACACACATACATGCTCACTGCGAAGGACACCACTGCTCATTTATATGAACCACCTGATCCTTTTTGGTATAATATACAGTTTTGGAAAGGATTCCACTAGTAATCTGTGCCTTAAATGTGTGTGTGTATGGCCTCCCCAGCACTTAATTTTTGGGGGACATACAATTCATGAAGGGCAGATGACTGGCAACTCTCTCCAAAACTGTGATATTAGTACCAAAGATACGGGGGGGGGGGGGGGTACAAATTTGGCATGAAACATGCATGCTTGTGTGGTGTGGTGTGTGTATGGGTGGGGGCATGGTTTGTGCATGCGAGTGTGTGTTCATGAGCATTTACATGTGGTGAGTGGTGTCCATGCGTTATGTCTTCTTGTTGTGTTATGTGTGGTCACTATAATGGACTCACTAATAGAATATATATCTCACTTGTCAATAACAATTCCTCTAACTTTGAATATCCAATAATTCATCAGGATAAGCAATATGGACAGACATTGCTTCAGCTTTCTCAAGAGCTCGTTTTCTAGAAAAGAAAAAACAAACTATTATTGAAAACTGATGGAACTCCTTTATTTATTTAAATAACTTTCAATCCTCATATTTTATTTGTGTGAACAAGAAGTGACAGAAAATACATACAATTCTTATTTTTCTATAATTCAGGAGTATTCTATTAAAAATTATACAAGTGACACAGGAATCTAGTAAGTTTTATTATTTTGCACACAAATGAGAAGTTATGACAATATTTGCTCATTTTCCTCAGAGAATGTGATCAAATCAGACCTCAGGTTAGAATCAATACAATTAATATTTTGTTGTATATTAATGAACTTAGAAGTTGTTACAATTTTCTTTGCAATTATTAATGTGGTTACAAAGAAACTGATGAATTATCTCTTAATTTTTTTGTTATTTTTCTTAAAAGCTATCTGAAAGCTGTGGAAACAAGTTTATAGTTCTGCAGAATAATTAATGTAAGATATTTGGACGATAAAAAGTATTTGAATGATATATGTATAAAAACTTCCTTGTATTTTTACAAATAAAAATTATCTACTTGTTTCTTCATCCATCATTCCATGTCTTGTAATATTTTTTTAATTTCTGCTCTGATATTTTGTACACTCCATTGCATTTTTTTGGCATTTCATTGAAATATTTTGCACATAGAGCGAACCGACAGAAATTGACAAACGAAAGAGTTATTTGAGTATTTGTTGACAAAAACTTTGAAAGGAATAAAAAAGACTGTTATTGAATTCATTGTGAAAGCAATATTTACCTCCAGCAACAATATCAATGCACTCTTTCCATCGTTGTTCTCTCTCATTTTGCCTGATAGAACAGTGAAGAATCAACTGACTGTTGCGTGCTTGTTCTGTCAAGTAAGTAATTGTTGCTCAGCAGCTCGCCAACATCACGTAGTTGCTTGAACTCTGAAAATTGATTTTTATACTTATTATTTTTGCAGTATAGAGAATGTCTAATAAGTTCCAGTGTCTTAACATTTATTAAATATATTTATTGATCTAAGAAAAATGTTATTGCCTGTAAGATCTATTTCATGTTTTTTCATTTCATTTTCAGTGCTCATTATGCTTCATTGTTTATTTCTGTCATTTCAATGAAAAAATATTGCAAATTTACTTGTATGTAATATTTATTTTCATTAGTAAGTTGTAATAAAAAATCATTATTTATCCATTTTTCTAATATGTTATTTCAAAATAATACCGTTTTGGTGTAGTGGAAAGAAGTTTCTCCAGTCTTAATGAAGATGGGACAGTTACCACAATTGGTTCATTGTTGCTGATTTCATATCTCCGAGCAAAATGTTATTAAAAATATTGTAGCCAAGGGACACTGGGGAATTTTGTTTGCATTTCTTGTATAGTCATTAAATTTGCACAATTTAGAAACATTTTCGTCGTTCTTACTGGGTAATGATATCTAGGGGAAAAAAACATAATTTCATTTCTTTGATGCATAATAATTTCTCTCCTTTTCAACATTTTCATTTATGCATAATTAAGTAATTGCTGGTACTTACATTGGCAGTTTTATTTCAAACTCAGTGATTCTTTTAACTCCTCTTCTGCCGTTTTACGATCAGCTCCCAAGAGACAGCTAAGCTACTTGATATTATAATATGCTCTTACGAGTTTATCACTCATACCTTAACTAAGTATTCCTGCTTAGTCAAGAGAGGCTTGGTCATCTGGAAAAAATTTTGAAGATATTTGTATTTGTAATTTTTTTTGTTTTACATCAAAATAAGTTAATTATATTAATTTACATAGCAAACATATTCATGACCTACATT